CAGTCAAATCTGAGATAAATCATAAATTTAATTCAAAATTCCTCCCAAGGGTTTAGATACATCCTGGAGACTAATTGTAAGAATCTTTTAAGGTTCTTCTGGCTCCAAAGGAATGTTATTAATAAATACATTAACTACTATTCATTAATAACTGGCTCCTGTTGACAGTCATAAAATCAAGGCATCCATGGGATATGATTTCTGTTTTCCATCCCCTGCACCACATTCCCTGCTCCAGTACACAGGGTATGTAACTTTTTAATTTTAATCAAACCTCAAGAGCATTTGTCAAACACTTTCATTTGACTTTAGAGAGCTTCTGCTCTTTCATAAAATTTTACATACTGTAGGAGTTAATAATCAAATGAATAGCTTATACAGATTTTTAGATCATTTTATGTACCACTTAGTGGGCTCATTGGTTCATTTGTGGGACCATTAGAATTCAGAGCACTAGGAGTACAGCTGTAAACTAACTATTCTCACCTTTTATAGAAGAGGCCATTGACATCTCTCCTCACTAAAGCACACAGTACAAACCATGCAGTTCCAGAGGTTTTTCCATGGACTAACACCTTCATTTTTCACCACAACCCTGGAAAATATCAATTAGTATTAGTGCCATTCTACATATGGGAAAGCCAATGCAGATAGAGGTTGGTCGTGACCAATTGACACTACTAGTAAGATATTTCTTGAATTATTTTATTCACTTCAATGAATCCATTCAAGCTAACCATAAAATCCCTGACAAGGAGCCTGGTATAAAAGACAAAGAAGGACGCTGATGAGAAACAGAAAACAAGAGCCTTGACTAGGGTGGTTTCCTTGGAGATAGTGGGAAAGGGGTAGACAAGAAGAGGTGACAGGAAAACTGTTATAGAAAAAACATCCCCAAAATGCAGTGGTGGAGGAAATGGAGCTGAGAATCGTTCTCTGGTTTCCAGCTTACATATCTAGATGTTGATGATACCATGAACCAAGGCATGGTATATAAAAGGTGGAGAAGATTTGGGGAAAGATCATTCAATTTGTAATGGTCTTCAATACACGTGATAACAGTGACATTACAATCAAAATCTGGTAGGTCATTGGATACCCAAATTCAAAGCTCGCTTTAAAGAGGACAAAGTGGAAGATAGAATTCGTGAGCTGTAAAGAGCTAGGTGGAAGTTGGACCCATTCTCAGAATGTACTCAGATAGTGGGTGAGATTAGAAAATGGCCAAGGAGAATTATAGTGTCAAGTGTAGATAAAGGAAACCAGTCTGAGAGGACTAAACAGTGAAACAGGAAGAAAAAGGCTAAGAGCACTGAGCCCAGGAAGAGTGTATAGGTGGAGTGACCTAGAGATTCAGATTTCTAGAAGAAAAAAGTTAAGGTATTGTTATTCTGCATGTTGTGTTGACCTTAGGGAACACAACTTTGGTAGAGCCACCAACCATAGCTGTAGAAGTCAAAACACAGCATCCTGAAGAGGAATGAGAAGTATGGCTTGAGGAAAAGAACAGAAATGGAGGCTCACAGAATAGAGGTTGAGCAGATAAATGCTCATAAAGCTTAAATTATTGAATTCTTGGATTCTGCAAAATAGTCTCTCCATCTTTCTATGGAGCATCCTCAATTATCATTTTAATGACTTTACTTTGACAATTTAATGAATACATTCTGTAAGACTAGTATTCCAATACCTAATTTTAGGTCTATAGAGTAGACAGTATTATTATCTCCATTGTAAAGATGAGAAAAGTAAGATAAAACAGCTTATCCAAGACTGCAAAGCTGGTAGATCATGGACCCAAAATATGAATCAGGCAGTCTGAACTCAGTCATTTTGTGCTTAACTATTACACTATGATCTATTGCCACACAGAAACAGAATTTACTGTGCATTCACCCATGAAATAACTGAGTAGTTTCTGCTCTTTTGCTTGCATGTAACTTGAAATTTCTGCTGAGTTAATAGACTTCTTCAACACATGTTTTTTGTTTTAGCCTATGTAATTGCTCTCAATTGTCAAGGAGTTGAGTGATTAGCATACAGAACACTGGAGAGGACTGATTTACAAAGCCAAATACTGAGAGCAGCACCTTGTTACCCACCAAAAGGAAAAGAATGAGGAGAAAAATGAGGGAAATAAAAGAGAGGCATTTGTCCAGGAAATCCACCTGGTTCTCTCCTGAAATATAAATGTTTATCCTAAAAAACCTTAAAGGAAAACATTTAACTGATGATTGAAATGGTTTAATGCAGAAAACCAAGCTGAACACAGCAGCAATTCTATCCAGCATTCTCAAGTCATTTCAAAATATTTGTAGAAGCTTTCATAAAAACTTTGCTGAAAAAAGATGCGAAATATTACACTTAGTAAAGCATAACTGGACCCACAAAACTCAAGCAACAGTTGATAAAGGTTCAAAAGGTTTAAGAGTATATTATTTTGTACCTGGATATAATCTACCAGAAAATGGTTTTAGAATATGAAGTCTTTGAGGTGATATTCTTATTTTGTTCGGTGAGGTGGGAAGTGATATAGGAAGAGGGTAATGGGCTTGGACCACACCCAGCAATACTCAGGTCTTACCTGTGGCTCTGTCTCAGGGATCACTACTGGAGGATCTCAGGGAAGCATACCAGGCCACCATGAAAATATATGTCTTGTGTCAAGAGACTTGAACTTTCTAGACATTCCTGGCTTTTCCAGCACTGTCCTCCTGAGACCTCTTCTAGACCAGTGTTCTTAAACATCCTGCAGACTGATACCCCAATAAGAAATAGGCATGGGTCCATCATTTACCTGTGTATGTATAAGCATGTGCTCACATCAGCACACTCATAAGCATTTAATAACAATAGATTTCTTAGAAAATAATTATTTACCATGTGCAATTAATGATCATCCTTTTTCTAATTTATATCTTAAAAATTCTGATTCTAACACCAAAATAAATGATTTTATAAGGACTAGAAGGGTAACAATCCACAGTTTAGAGACCATATTCTAAAAGACTTAAAGCACCTCAGCCATATCTGCAAAAGGAGAGATCAGCAATTTGTGTAATAGAAAATATGTAAGTGTTCACAAAAACTTTGAAACTAGACAAGCACAGGTTCCAATCACATCTCTCCAATCACACCACTGTGAAGCTCTAGACAGTTTTCAGTAGTGAGACTTTCTGACCCACTTTCTTTCCTCTCCATCATGGAACTGCAGAGAGATTAAATAAGACATGGGGAAACACACCTAACTCAGCACTAACTTACACTGAGTGCATCCCTTCACCCAGTGAATATTTCTCAAGTCTCAGTTGCAGGCATAAAGTATGAGCATGTAACAGTTTAAAAACCCTGGGGTCAATAGTCAGGAGTCTTGGGCATGCTAGTGGTTCAAAGGCTGATCTTTGAACCACTAGAAGATAACAAAAGCTATACATCAAAACCACTAAAGCTAACACTATTGTAAGCATGGGACCCAACTTACAATAATTAACCTTAAAAATGTGTGTTAAGGAGGAGGGCTGGAGGGTGGGAGGAAACCTGGGGAGACTGGGGGAGAGATGCTGACACTGACAGTGAGTGAGATAGAGTTGGACCTTGTGTGCCTGAAACCCAAGTATTAACAGCGTTGTAAATTGTGTTGCCTAAATTTAAAAACAATACCACCTCTGTTCTCATGGGGTCAGCCAGTAGAGAGAGAAACAATGATCAAATAAACAGAATATGTCTAAGAGAAATTAAGAGATTTTTTAACTTTCTATTGCTGCTCTAACAAATTAACATAAATTTAACTTAAAACACATTCATTTTATTTTTTAGAGATCAGAATCCCAAAAATGTTCTGCCTCATTGAACTAAAATCAGAATAAGGCTACATCCTGAGAGTTCAAGGAAAGAGTTGTTCTCCTTGTCTTTTCCATATTTTCTAGTGACTTTCCACACTCATTGGCTATGGCAACTTTGTCTCCAAAGCCCACAGCAGTGAACTGAGTCCTCACTCAGTCCTTCTGACTTTGCTTGTCATCCTGTCTCTTCCCACCCTTGCCCCTTTCGCTCTCTCCGTTATTAAACATGGTTAGATTGAACCCACCCAGATATCCAGGATAGTCTCCCATCTCATAATCCGTAACTTCATCACATCTACAAAGACCTTTTTTTGGCCAGGGAAGGTAACATATTGACAGGTTGTGGAAAGCAAGATGCCATCATTCGGAGAGAAAAGATTTTCTGCCAATGGGGGGTGGGTTGCGGGAAGCAAAGTAACCCCAACTTCTGCCTGTTCATGGAGTCATCCACCAGCAATAATAAGAACAAAGCCAAATAAATGTTCAATGGAAGAAACCAACAGGTTTAGGAAACTGGAGTATAGGTATTTGACTGTCCTCATTATACCCTGGGGAAGGAGATGCTTACTCTCCTGGTTATTCAGCCAATAACCAATAACTAAAGGAAGGGATTGTGATTTTTAGTTTCTTGTCCCTGGAGCCTAATGTCCCTGAGCAAGTTGTCATTGTCAAATAAGTCTAGAAGAGAACTCAAAATCTACATCCCAAGATCCTTTAATAGAAGTTGCTCTGTCAACACCTTTGCTTAGTAATATGCGTGGATTTTTTCCATCAGTGTTTCTCATTTGTGAACTGTGGACAAGTGGAAAGAAAAACGCAGTGAAAGCTGAAAGGATTGGCTTGTACTATGAGCATATGCCTGGATGTGTGATAAGGTGAAGGCCAAGAGCATGAGTGAATGACCATGTTCGTAAATGTCGGACTGTCCTCGTCTCCAGTGCATCTTGCATGAGCATCAAGTGCCCTGTGATGTGTCTCCTCTCCTAGAGCCCTGAATTAAGGGACTGGAGAACCACTTACCCTGTCACAGCCACATTGTCAGTCAGCATTGTTCACATGAGTTGTTCACATGAGTGAAGTAGCATGGAATGTTCTACCTGCCTGAGTTGGCACTGATCTTGTTTCCTGTGTAATCTTGATGCATTTGCTTTATTTCAGGGGAAGCTTGATGCCTTGTGGGTTCTTCTAAGAAAAGGATATGATCGTGTGTCCGTGATGCGTCCACAGCCTGGAGACACGGTAGGATTTAAATGTTCAATGTTGACCATTCCAGCTATTATTTCACATTTTGGCAAGGCAGATATTAATTTCCAAATTTCTGTTGCTGATAGGGCATTGAACTTTGATTTGCTCTTCAGAAAAAAAAATTAACAGAAATATGTTGAGCTTCATTTTCTAGAACTAAAGCCTCTACATTGATATGTAGTACTGACCTCCCATTGTTCATCAATTTGCTTGAGCGGGCCCAGTAATGTCTCCATTGTGAGACTTGTTGTTACTGTGTTTGGCATATTAAATACATCACGGGTAGCTTGCCAGGCTTTGCCATGTGGGCGAGATACTCTCAGTAGCTTGCCAGGCTCTCTGAGAGGGGAGGAGGACTTGAACCCAGGTTGACCGGCCAGCTGTGTGTAAGGCAAATGCCCTACCACTGTACTATCGCTCCAGCACAAATTGATATGTACCTCAGTAATATATAAGGAAGGTTCTTACTCTGGCCAGTGCTGAGACCAAGGGCTGCTGTTTCTCACCCACATTGATCAGTGGTGGGCAATAGAAGGTGAGAGCCACAGGCTAGGACAAAAGAATGGAAGGCACAGAATCCCACCAATCATTTTTTTCCATCTGGCGCTGAGACCACTGGACCAAAAGTCACTGGACAATCTTTGGTCTTAGTGAAAAGTTGCCTCGAAACTGCCAGAACCCAACTTGAAGTATCTCCAACCAGAAAGCATTGGAAAGGGGCACTAGAGAGATCTTAAAAACAACCTAATCATATCTCTGTATTGTAAATAAGGAACCAAAGAATATGTCATTAAGAGATGCTTAATGACATATTCTGGTCCAGGTAGTAACAAAGTCAGGAATGAACTCAGATCTGCTGAAATCTCACCCTTGCTGTCTTCTGATAAGAACGTTCTCTCTTCCATAAATTTTTCAGAGTAAAAAATGGCACTAATTATCCCGCAACCACCAGCAGCCTACATCTTCCACCTGCTGTGCTGGGACTCATTAGCAAAAAAAAAAAAATACAGAACAAATATTCCTAGTGATGGGGCCAGAGAAATAGTACAATGCATAAGGCACTTGCCAGGCAGGCAGCCGACCTGGGTTGGATTCCCAGTACTACATATGGCTTGATTCCCCAAGCCCTAGCAGAAGTGATCTCTGAAAGCAGAGCCAGGAAAAAACCTGAGCATCACCAAGTGTGTTCCCCACTCCACCCCTATGTCTCTGGTTTAAAACTTCTTCCAAAGCAGACAGTGCTGTGTTTGAATCTCTCTTCCCAGCAAGAAGACTCCAGGTAAAACCTGGAGTTTGGGGGATTTTTTTTTTCACTAAATATTTGCATTTAGTACAGTATTGTATTTGTACAGTAACAATCAATGACAAAAACTATTGGTTATTTTCTTTGTGCTTTTCTACTGACTGTGAAAGGTCGATATAAAAATCCAAGCCACAGTATAGCTCACGTGTTGTAATATATTCACAACTTTGCCCTATCCACTCTGCCCGATTTTCGTTACAGCACATCTGGGGAGATGCAAGAGCAGAGCTATAAGGCAAGACCCTCTCCCTCTGTGCCTGGGAGGAGGTGGCTTATCACTGAGAGAATCTGGGCCTAGACTTTCGAGTTTAAGTTCCTTCTCAAAGAGTCTTCCTCTTCCACATTGTGTTAGGCAGGGCAGGCAAGTATGAAGAAAGAAATCCTATGAATCATACAAATGCAGTATTCACTTGTGACTCCTTGCATCTGAAGTGTGTGTTCTACCTAGAAGCTCAACTACAACCTGTTGCCTTAGCAAACCCCCAAGTTCAGGCTCCTCAATAATAGGACTAAGCCAAGACTATATATTTTGTACTTGGGAAAATGTGTGGGCTTACACGTTATAGATCCATTTGCTGTGGAAAACTAAAAAATTTCTCTTAACATACAAGAGACTCATCTAAAGGAAGAAAAATAGCAAATATGTAAATTTCTATTTTATATGACAAAATAAGCATTTTTTCAGAGCAACTGAAAGCATTTGATATTTATTAAAATTATTAACATTTCCTGCACCACATATGGTACCCAAAGCCTGCCAGGAGTGATCCTTGAATGCAGAGCCAGGGATAACCCCTGAGTACAGTTGGGTCTGCCCCTAACACTGATGCAAAGAAGCAAAATTAACTTTGGGGGCAGAAGTGATAGTACAGTAAGTAAGGTGCTTGTCTTGCACACAGATGACCTGTGTTCAATCCCCATTACCCCTTATGATCCTCCAATTCCCACCAGGAGTGACCCCTGAGTGTAGGAACAGGAGTATGCCCTGAACATCACCAGATGTGGCCCAAAAACCAAAATAAATAAATATATTCCATTCTCCACTGTCCTGTTTGCTGGAGACAAGTTCTTAAAAGGGAGTCAACCTGAAAAGTGAGAGTGTGTAGAAAGAAGAAAGAGTGCATAGAAATAATACATGTAAGGTATAAGAACCAGCACTGGGGACAAAAGACTGATTGTTATAAGTTCAACAGTGGAGGGAAAACCGATGGGATTTTCTCTAAACAATCCCACCTACATTGAATCTCTTATTTACTAATTGAGAATGAAAGTCTGCATTAACACTTGAAGATGTTCCATATGTTCCTGAGAGACACAATACCATTTGAACTTTCTCCAATCACCAAAATAATAATAATAGTTCTGATATATCGGAGGTCTAAGAATTAGAATATATTTGGCCATATATTAGCACTGTCACAAACTATGATTCTTCTACCTACTTTTCAATGGGTTTCCTTTAGAATATCCAGCTATAATTTTAAGACCCCTGAAAGAAGTCAAAGCAGAATTGCAGCCTTATAGACACAGAGATGGTCCCAGGCATTGGTGTACACATGGAGAAGATTCACAAGAAAGCACATACTCAAAGCAAGAGTGTGGGGCTGCCTATGGCAACTCAAGGAAGCACTCAGAGAGAAGGGAGGGCTGTTTTGGAGTTTTGTTGGGTGGATTCTCCATTGTTTTGCATAACCTTGGAAGCCTCACTGCAGACCTGAGCTACTCACACAAAGATGACTGAAAGAATTCTTCAGCACTGATTTATGGAGCTGACCACATTTTCCATAAACTCAAAATTACTACATCCAGGCATGTGCTCATGAACAACAGTCACAGGTTCTAAATTTTTCCTCTAAAACAAAAACAAAAACAAAGTCACCTAATTACATTCTCGGTTGCAATGTGAATGGTTTCAAACACATGTTGACCTCACGCAAACTGGGCAACTTTTCCTTCTCAGTTCTACGTCTGCCCCATTGTCCAGCCTCCTCCACCCCATCCCCTGGTGAACCCACCCCCAGTCTCCTGACACAGACACCAGCCCACCAACTGAGCTGAGGAGGCTGATGAAAGGGCTGAGGCTTGGCAGCCCCCACGGAGCTGTTGGCTGGGGGAGGTCGAAGCCCAAAGCCACTCCCCAGAATTGGCTCTCACCACCTCCCAGCTGTCCAAATCCCATGTCATATCGGGGGAAACGTGAATGGAACAACAGCAAGAGACATGAATATTTTCCCTGCTCTGTCCCGTTCACTCTCTCTGCCTGGAGTGCACTCACATTACGATTGTTCCTGTGCACCCACCAGAAAATCCCGGGGTTTCCTAAACATAAAAGAGAATGTACCAGAAGAAACCACTTAAATAGCAAACCAAACAGCAGAATGTGATTTAAGTGCATCTGAGCCGGAAACTGTAGAAGTCCGCCCAGATTGTGAATTCCTTGCTTAAACCCTCCCCTGCTTCCACTGCCGAGGCTCAAAGACAGTTCAGTGGTTAAAGGGCTTCTGCTAGCATGCACCTAACCCAGGTTCAATCCCTGGCACCATGTGATCCCCAAGTATCTCTGGGTGCAGCCCCTGGAGGCCCCCCTCCACAAACCTCTGGGGTGATATGGGTAATCCCCAGTGCCCAGGACTTGAGCGTCACCACATCCTTTGACCTCTGAACCAGTTTCCATAACACAGATCCCAACATGCCCTGGCAAGGCTTAATGCTTGTCTAGACTAGGGAAAAGTTCTCCATCCTTAGCTTGATTTCAAAGAACCTGCTTTCCATTTCAGACACTTCTGACCCCAGGTTTCCTCATTATTCTAAACTGGCTCTGGCAGCATGGAATGGTCCATTTCCTAAATATTCCAGATCTTTTGTGTCTCTGTAGCTTTTGCATCTAGTTTCTATGCCTTTCTCACCCTCTCTAACTAGTGAATTTGTAATACCTTGATAAAATTGCTTTTGTTGGTGTAGGTCTGGGGCCATACCTGTTGGTATTCGGGGAGTACTGCCACCTCTGAGCTTGGGGGCTGCTTTCTGCAGTGCTGAGGGGACCATGCAGTGCCTGGGCTTGAACCTAGCCTACCACATGCAAAACATGTGCTCAGTTCATTGAGCTATCTTTCCAACCTGGACCTGTATTTTAAAGGGCACAGAGCACATGCAGAGCACATACAGAGAGATGAGCAAACTATGGGAATAAGACTCTGAATCCCAGGATCACTTTCCAGGGAGGTGCCTGTGGTACACTACACACTTGGGTCATTCTGAGCTCAGAAAACATGTTTTCTAGTAAGGACAATGAGAGCATTCAGTGTGAGAAAAGAATTAAAGGGACCATCACAACTCTTTGACTTGGTCGTTTCTTGGTTTTTAAGTATGCATTCCACTGCATAATCCATTTTTTATTTATCACTGTAACCATAATCTATAAATAATCTTCCTGGGCCACTACATGTCCTTGTGTAAAGTCACACTAATGAATATTATATTATTAATATATAAAATAGGAATATTACATCATAGACATATACTGTATGTCACACATACCAAACAATGATGTAATATTCCTATTTTCTTTTTGGGTATTTATTTCAAATGTTTATTTGCATAAATGAAACTGTAATCACTATCCATGTTGCCAAATCATTGTTCACATTTATGAAAATTTTATTAGGGTAAGCATCCAGCTGTCTATATTCGA